GGCGGGTCTGTGTTGAATCACTGCTGTCAATCAACAATCGCGGGAGGGGCGTCCGTTTTATTGACGTCACAAAAACGAACGGCTCAATTTGAGGCAGGGGAAAACATATTAGGAGATTAAAACAAAAACACAGGATGGATTTTTATCATTATATGATGGTTGTGTACAGGCACTGCCAACACACATTTCAGTACAATCAACTTGTAAAAGTGCATGTACCATTATATGACCCCTTTAAGTGAAAATCGGTCTTTACAACTTTTACTTGTAGTGGAGTAATATTTGAGATAGTACAAGACGGGCATTTGTGGTTAAAAAGTATATAATTTTCATTTTTTTTAGAAAATGACCGATTGTTTCGCTAGATAAGACCCTTATTCCTCGGCTGGGATCGTGTCAAGCCTTTGAAGCTGCATTGAGACTGACATTTGAACTTTCAAACCGCTGGTTGCCATTGAAGTCCATTATATGGAGAAAACCTTAATTTCTTTTCGACTGAAGAAAGAAAGACATGGACATCTTGGATGACACGGGGGTGAGTAAATTATCAGGAAATTTTTATTTGAAAGTGAACTAGTCCTTTAAGAATTGCACAAAAAAATTGTATTACAAGTTTTATGAAATGTTACGTTTAAATATGCAAATTATGCATTATCTAATTAAATATGCACTAATTTGCATACATTTCTAGAACAGAAACCAGAACATTTGATAAAGCCAGGTTCAATTTTTTTCACATATTACAGTCAAAGGTTTTTACAGATGGGATCTTTGATATCCCTTTCAACTCAATCAACAGCAAGAAGGAAAAAAAAAAAAAAATCACCATTCTTTTAGGAATACAATTTAATAATGTATCAGTAAATGTTGAAAGTGAAACTAACATTAAATGTGCTTGTTAAATGCTGTAGAAGTATTGTTTATTCTTAATGTTAACTAATGTAGTTAACTTATGTTAACTAATGAAACCTAAAGTGTTACGAGGCAAATAATATATGAACAAACCTCTTAGTAAAAACCTTCAGAATATACAAAGGAATAAAACTGTAAAGTGTGGTGCATGTAAGTGCTACTAAAGTACAGATTTCTGACTCAGTGCAGGAGAAAAAACTCATTTTGTGAAAACAGCCTTTAAAGATATGTACTGTAATTGAAATCTAAAGATGCAAATTGAGTGCTATAAAAGATGCACTTAAAAGTGTATTTTGGATGTTTTCTTTCCACTTTCTTTCCCAAAAAACAAAACAAAAAAAACCCACTTTATTTTCACTTTATGAAAAGCTAAAAAGCCCCAAAATCTCAAAAATCTCGGAAAAAACTGTTTTTGCCAGTAGTGTCTCGCCTTCATGGGTAAGGCAATCCCAGCATGCATCATGACAAGCTCTGAGATTCTGGATTTAAATGTCCCTTATTTTACGTAAATAAGGAAAAGTGCCAAAATAATTTAATCTAATAACAAATTATTTAAGGCAAAGACACTACATGCAAAACCAGCTTTTTTTCAAATTTAGAGATTTTATGCTATTTTGCTTCCATGACATGCCTTCTTTCAGACTAGTGGAAAGAAAACATTTAATTGTTTATTTTGTTACACTTCATCTATTTAAACATGAAAATTTCAATTATAATACATTTCTTTAAAGGATGGGATAGTCCGAAATCTCGACTTCATCACTTACATACAAGAAACTTAACAGTTTTACTCCTATCCATATTATGAAGGTTTTGATAGAGCGGTTTGCTCATATATCATTCACCTGATTAATATAATATTTTACTCCTAAAACATGGCGTTTTTTCAGTCTGTTGACAGTATTTTCTGATTTATGGAGTGATAAAAAGAGATATCCAAAATCCCCTCTGTAAAAACCTTTAACTCTTATGTCAACAAAATAAAACAAGAATTTTGAAACTGGTTTTATCCAGTGTTCAGATTTCTGTGCTGAAATGTATGCAAATTAGTGCATATTTCATTAGATAATGACTCATATCATGGCATATTTAAATATTTCAGAAAACTTGTGAATAATCACCTGGGGAAATATGTTGATATTGTATATCAAGTGTTTTATGCTAGTTTGAGCCCGACGCAGTTATCATTTTCACGTCCTGAGCCATGTTGTTTAAATAGCAAATGCATTTGCACCCATTTGTGCGCCCATAAGCGTGCTAGTCTGAAAACGATGTGTGTTCAGGTGCATTGTTGGCGTGTTGCTATTTTGAGGCAACTGAAATATACTGCGCCATTGACCAACTGAAATCTGGTCTATAGTCAATGGCGCAATTTTTTTTTTGTTATTTAAAGAGCGCGTTAGTAATGTGCGCCTATAGGCGGGTCCACAACGCGCGTATACACTTTGCTTATTACACACACAGAGACGCGCAGCAGCACACAAACATGCCAAATATTGAAAATAAAAGTATTACAATGTAAAATATTAATATTGTGTATATAAAGATATGGTGGAATCCTGATTTTTGAGAGAATATTGTTTATGCATGGTTATTGAAAAAACTAAAAATTAAAGTTTCTGAAATAAAGCCACAAAACACATACTAAATATGTGTCCACAAGACTTTTGACTAATGGCAGTTGTGGCCTAGAGTTTTTGCTTCAAAATCATCTGATATGCGAATGGGCGTGAACGGCCCAACCCCATTGTGAATAATGGTGGTTGAGAAGACAAAGACCCCGCATATTAATGAGCCTTTCATTCAGGTGTGTCACACAAGAAAGAATGCAAGGACAATATACACACACACATACATACATATATACATATATTTATATATATATATAAAATCAAAATATAAATGAAAGTCAAAAGCACATTTTTAGTCATACCTGGAAACAAATCCTGTTCAAATAGGTTATATGGGCCATTCTACAGAATTGGTTCAAAGTTAGAGTTGGAAACATCTTGAAAAGAAAATTGTCTTTTTCCATAAAATGTCTTAGTAGGCCAATGCATTTTATCATACATATTTCAAAGTTAAGGATTCATTATTTTGATATAGCTTGCATTGGAACAAACACTATTCTTAGTTGATTAGTTTATTGACAAAACATACTATATATTTAACATATGAGCAGAAACTGCTAACAAAAGCTTATTTGATGTCTATTTTAGAGTTAAAACTTTATAATCTATCCAAAACTAGTCACACACACACACACACACACACACACACACACACACACACACACAGAAACATGATTCAAATTTAAACAGTAGGCTATTTTTGCGTTTACAGACACTAACGTTATTATATATCGCGATTAGAACAAAGCACAATAATAAAAACACTTACAGCTCAGCTCGCTCCTCGAAGTGAAAATAAACCAGCACTTGTTCTGAGGTAGGTAAATGTCCCAGGATTATTCCTCACAGCCGCGCAAGACGACAGTACATTAATCTGACTAAATATAGTGTGTTTACCGAGTTTATGTGGGCGTTTACACGTCTCAATGTGTTGTGTTACGGCCTGAGCCTCATGCTAATGTATGTGTCCTTCTATGACTGATCTGATTCTCTTCTCTTGTAGCTCCGCCTCTGCACACCTGCAGCCTGTTAGTAATGTTCTGGGCTGGAGATATAATGAGAGAGAGGAAGGACGGGAGTCATGCACCACACGCACCACACGAGTGTCAAACACGGTGTCAGTCACACACAAGGAACAGAGAGAAGGTCACAGTCATGGAGAAATGGAGAAGCAAAGGCATGGAGGAACGGAGGTGTAACACTGGCGTCCCGTTCCCATAGCGGCGTGATCGTTCCGATCACTACTTCAGCTCTGTTAAGAGTTTGGCGTGCACTGGAGGAGAAGGGCGTGAGTGGATGAATGAGAGAGCCCTGTGCGTGTCATGATGTTTCCGCCAGCCGCTGCTAAGCTGTGCTTTGATGTCGTTTGTCTGAATGTTTTGTGGGTTTATGGTTGTTAATGTCTGTTAATCAGTATCTGTTGCCGTCTGACACGTGAGTTATGTATTACTAATAAATTGTTAAACTGGTACATTTGGCATTGCGTGTCTTTATGTTACCTACCCCCTTCCCTAACGAGCACTTTAAAAGCGGGGTTCGTAACAGTTGCTTCAGATCATTAGCGTTTGAATAGCGCGCGCTCTCCGTGGGCATGTCACATTAGCGGAATAATGAGATGCGAGAATGATAATGAGAACGGCTGACACCTCTCTCTTTTTATATAGATTACATAAACAGAGAATATTTATTTTAGTTTTAAATTAGATCATTTAAAAGTACAAACTTAAATGATCATAAACATATATTGCTCATGTCTGGGTGAATAGTATTCGCTGAGTTTTGTTTAAGTTTAGAGACGTGCTCCAGAAAAAAAAAAGTTCACGGACATGGAGAGGCAGAACGCACACCCTGTTTATTTTCTTTATTTTACAAAAGCACAATATTTTATTTCGATTGTAGGTGGGCATATAAAAAAGTAGACATTTAACAGTTTTTTTTTAATATGTCTTAACTCTGTATGACCAGAAATGATGGAGTAGTTTAAGTCTATTTTTCTGCTATGTGAAAAAAAATCGGTGCGTTTGCCGTCGCCAGAGGGTTGAGAGAATAGGGACAACCCTTTTAGACTATGTGCCGGGCGTGCGGACCGGTTTTCCCGTCGTTAAACTAGCAAACGTGGATTCGGACACGCTCTTAAGTGCACTTGCGCCGTGCGCTTTAGTCCATGCGCTTAGATTGTTAAAATTGGGCCCGTAGTGACTTGCCTTAAAAAAATTAAAAGATGTTTGTGTAGGCTGTATATTTTTATACTTGTTAGAGCATTACATTTTTAGCTCCTCCACTTATATGGAGTTGCTATCTATGTAGGGCAATCCAACTTGGCCGCTTAAGAGGTTTCATTTCAGTCATGATGGCTTAGAAGACTATGTAGGCTGTAGACGGCAAGGTAGCTCAGAACAGCGCTAGTGTGTCACACGTTAATCTTAAAGAAACTATAAGCCATGCTGAAGTATGTACCGGCAGACAGTCGCGGGCGAGTTCTGGGCGTCTGCATCTCTTGGCGGGCGTGTGGCAGCATGTGGTAGCGCTTGGCTTCGTTCACCAGGTCCCTGCAGGCCTCAGAAGATTTGATCAGCTCCTCGTTGTCCACCACGTTCAGCAGGTAGCTGGGATGAATGAACGGAAGCCGCACCACCGCCAACAGCTCAGACACATGCTGGGTACACGACAGAGATAAACAAGACGGAGAGAAAGAATCGAATGAAAACAGAGAAATAAAAAGATAATATGACACAGCTTTGTGCTATACACAACCTTAATTGTGGTCAAATCACTGTTACGGATGGCCTCATGCCTTATTGCAAAGGCAATAAGAAAATCTCTCTGCATAATTAAGCTTCAAATATTCACACAGCAATTTGTGATGATGCATCCGAGTTTACAAAGAAGCCTGCTAGAAAAATAAAACGAAGTCTACCGAGGGATGCTGTGTGAGGATGGCCATTATAACCGAAGAGGTACAAAACAGATACTGACACACATTAATGTGTGGCAAACAACCTCCGCTAACAGCATAAACATCCAAACAAGTTCAAATTTTGAACGCTGGAAGTTAAACATGTTCTTTTTTGATTTTCAGATGATTTACCTTCAAAACAAACAGAAATCACACAAATGATTTAAAGAAGAAGAAAAAAAAGCATGTTTCATACAGATTGGTAATTCAACAGACATAGGCATGTTAAAAGTCATGTTAAAATCATTTAAAGGGGCCTTGTGTAATGTCCGCCAAAAAATAAATTCATACTCTACATTCCATACAGATGGGGGCAGTATACCTCCAGAAAGTGAGTTGGTCTACTCTAGAGTAACAAACGAGAAACGGCATAGTCTCTATGCTCCGCCCCTACCTTCACAACGACCCTAGAGCCATAGCCGAAGCCGAGCCAACTCCTAATAGAGGACGTTTTGACTCCAGAGGAACGTTGGTTGATGTCAAGTGATTTTTAAATATGACATCTTCAAGCTACTCCCCTTCACCTTTACCAGTGAATATGTTCATATTCATTTTGTTCATATTACATTTTTATTGTTAGTTTGAATTACATTAATTTGACAGACAGCATTCGCTGATGTTGACCAATCTAGCGCCATTCAGAGCTGCCAACTCTCACGAATTCACCGTGAGACACACGCAATTGACACTTTTCACACGCCACACATCAATTTTGTCACGCACAGAAAAATCGCAAAGCAAAGAGGACACGGAGACCGACAGACTAGACAGAGCAGGTTAGTTATGATATAAAAAAAATCTCAGCTCTCAGATTCTGTCAATTTTATTACGCAATTCAAACAATAAATACCGTTTTGGCGCTTGTAAATGTTACACGACAGATCCCTAGCGCACGTGAACCGATCATCTCTACTAGCTAATAGTAAAAAAACACAAACACTGTTGAAAGATACAGTATAGGCTACAACTTACCAAAATGTATTCCTCATACATAATGTCGACCAATATTTTTTTTTAATCAGCGTGCAGAGGTCAATAACATAGCTGGAGAACAAATATGTCAGATTTACCTCAGGAAAGCAATTTAATAAACATAATATAGGTCCGCTCTATTCCCTGAACTGAAATGTAGTAGTGGGCTGTACTTTCCACATGATTGACATCAGGTTCAAGTACGCCCACAAACCGTTCGAGTTATTCGTGTATTGCAGTTTGGCTGGTGGTTATGTTGCCTTAACAAATGTTGACCGGGAAATTTTTTACGAGCAGTTCATTCATACCTATGCAAGATCGCTGTGAAAATACAGACCGGAAGTCAAAAGACAACGAGCGCAGCGCTGAAAAGGGGCGGGGCTACATAAGGTCTATAACTTGTCATTTTTTTAATGACATTATCGCCCTTATTTCTTCTCATTCTTTTGATGCGTGTAGCTCATTTTTTGGATATTTTTACCTCGATTCTAACACATGGCACCTTTAAGAGTTTATTGAAAATAAATGAAATATTTTAAAAGAAGTTGAATTGAAATGTTATGTTTAATTAAATTTAAATGAAATTATTAGACTTTAATTGTATTAATAATGTATTTATAATTATAATGAAATGTATTAAATAATATTAAAAATTAAATAAATAAATTCTAATAATTTAAATGAATAATCAGAGCTGGTCAGTTTTTATTTGTTTGATAACAGGCCGCATGAACAGCTTGACATACAGGGGATCCTTTCCAAAGACTCCTTTTTCAGCTTGATCAACATTGGGTTGCCATGGTGAACAATCCCAGCGTGGCATTACTCCTTGTCCACTATATCTCCAGCGAGATTGTAAACACAAAAAGACACGGTCAACAGCTGGTGTGGCTCTCCTTCGCTTTCTCACCGGCAGTTGATTTCAAAGGCAGCTAAACTGAGGGCTTCGTTTTGAGCAAAATACATTTGCATGTACACATTTCCAATGGTCTAGAAGAGAAATGAAGAAAGGTCAAAGATTTACTGGTGACAGTGGTGGCATTTTACTAAAGTCCCTGGTGAGACTGGAAAAATCTGCACCATCACATTCAGATAGTTTATCAATCTGGCATTTCAGGTAGGAGCTCAAAACCATTTGTGGTGTGAGAAAAGGATCAAATAAATGAAAAATGGTTTCTGAAAAAGGCGTTTCTAGCAATCTACAGCCAGCATGGCCGCTGGAGAAATCCCTCAGGATTACAACCATTCCCTCCACTGCTCAGGCAATCAAGGCTTATCGACTGAATGATCTAGGAATCCAAATGCAGCTCCGCTGAGCATATCTGCAATAATGTCATGCCAAGAGGGAGCCAGACTATGGCACGCTGAATACCAGATTAAGACACAGAGTACAGCACAAACCACAGCTTTACTGTGCAAAAAGACTGATGGATGAATCATCAAATGCAACGTTTCAGCTTACAGGCTGAATGCTTTGTAATGCTATTAAAATGTAAATGCAAGGTCAGAAAACAAGAAACAAATTCTGAGTGCAAACAGTTCTGTAATGTTTATAAGTTATTGCGGATGGAATCAAATTCATGAATTGCCCTCTTTTTCACTTCACGACATACATATACACGACTTACAAATGAGGAGAGCAATAGAAGCAATCAAACCAACAATAGTCCCAGTTAGTCTAGCACAGTACACATGAAGCCAGAGCTTTCCCTATCTGATTTTTTTTTTTACCTCCGTAAACACGGCATCGTCTCAACAAATATCTGCATACACACAAAACCAGACCAGACCAGTATGTGGCGCTGTAATTCTGCCATAGAGATACACTAAAAACAGAAGAAGACTTGGAGCATGCACATGAACCTTGTGCACTGTATACAATAAAAATAGGCTCAGTAGCTGCTGCATCCTTTTTTCTTTTTATTTTTTAACCAAGAACTTTATTGAACAATATAAACAACCATAAATGGCCTGGTACAAAAAATGAAATGTCTTAATCAGACAACAGACAAGCATCATAGCATAAGAAATAAATAAAAGAGGCTCAGTAGCTTCTGCAGTACAAACACAAGCATATAGTCCGCAGTTGTTGTTGCTGTTATGTGACGTAGCGGTGTCTGACTAGGGTCGACACGTGGGATGATGACATCATCGTTTCACAAAATATACGGATTGGCTGAACACATGAAAACGCAAGGGTGTCGTTTTCAGATTTATCCACTCTGGGACCTGGTTTAAAAAAAATAGCGGTTTCTGGCTCCCGAAACACAATGTTTACGTATACAGCTGTGTTCATCTTACGTCATCCCAAATGTGCACGGCACATGATAGAAAACAGAACGAAGGGTCAATATATTGTGTTTTTTTATTAATTTGGTGCTATTATGTGCAGCTGAGTGAACAACACTTGGGTTTACTGTACGTGTTGCATGAAGGGGGCTTTCTGCTGCTTGCAAACGGACTCTTTATAGGAGACAGTGGAATGCCATTCATTTGCTGCCCTGATTGTACTCATGTAAATCATGAACACTATCATCCCTTACATGTGTTTTATTTAACTAAATACATGTAATCGGCTAAAATGCATGCGCAGGTTGCTTTTCTTCCTGAACAATCGCGAAACAAGTCTGTGCTACTTTCACATTCACGCGAATGGCGCCAAAGTTCTACCTCCAGGTAGTCTTGGGTTCGGTCCCCCGGTGCACACCCGGGTCCGCATAACAGCTTTCACATTACCAATTTTTCATGCGAATTGTGCCCCGTTTCGAATTAACCTGCCAGTGTGAAAGCCGTGTTGGTGAGTGATTGGTGTTGCAAGTGTTGATGAAAAAGATAGCTAAGCTAAGGACTCAGCAGCTCGGGTTGAGTTAGGCAGGTATTTCCACCAGCTTGAAGCAGTCAGGGTAAAGGTCCATGAAAGTGATTTTGTGCCTCTTTGGGATTGCACCATGAGAAGCTGTTCACTTGCAGAACGCAGGCTTCTGGAGAGCACGCAAGTCTGGAGTAATGAGTTAAAATATAGGGGTGAAGAGCCAGTGGTTGTTCTGTAGGCAAACATCAGTGCCTTGAATTTGATGGGAACAGCAATCTGCAACCAGTGCAAGTTACAACAAAAATGGAAGCTACAACAAAATGAAGAGCAAATGATCCACATTAGATGTGATTCATGCTTCATTTGCACATGGGAAATGTGGTTTTGTTGTGCAAAACTGTTGCATCACTACTAGACCAATTAAAGCTCTGGAAATTCTGTGCATGCAAATGCATTTTGTTGAAAACAAATGGCAGTTAACAGATGGGTGGATTTATTATTAGGTTAAATAAATAAATAATGTGGTGTTGTTGTGCAAAACTATTGCATCACTTCTAGACCAATCAAACCTTTGGAAATACCATGCACCTGGATTCAGTTCGTTTAAAAAAAATGGCACTTAACAGATGGAGGATTCATTCTAAGGCTTGGACGGTATTTTAGAGTTGGCAAGACAAAGCCGAGCTGCTATGAAACATCACAATCTGTACGTATCCTCGCATGCATCATGAGGCATCTGTCAATCCTGACATAATGATGTGACACTCTACTGATGCACAAACTTCTGTAAAAGCGTCCTCACATAACAGCTGCATTTGTACATTTGAACGCAACAGAACAGACGCCAGAACTTCTGAGCGCCGTGTTTGATACTCATCAAATTGCTATTGATCTCTAACAAGTAAAAACTCAGTTT